AAAAAAAAAGTGATAATAGAATATAATAGTTATAAAAAACTACAAGAACATTATTTAACTTGACTTGTGATTACGAACTTGAAAACCACAAGAAGTTTTATCACTACAAAAATCTTGAACTTTTATTACTACCATAACAATCTAAGAGTTAGAAAGTTTACTCAAAATAGTTACTTTCCTTTTTAATTACAGAAAATTTGACCTATTTAATACTCCCTCCGGTCACTTTTACTTGGCACGTATACTAAAAATAGATGTTCACTTTTACTTGGCACTTTACGCATATCAAGAGAAGACAACAAATTTTTTCCTATTTTACCCAAAGTATTTATTACCATTTCAAATCATTTTTTCAAATCCAATATAATACGCATCAATTAATATGGGTAACATGGTAAATTATGCACTTCATTTATTATTTCTTAAGGGGCGTGAAAAGTCAAAATGTGCCAAGTAAAAATGACCAGAGGGAGTAGGATATTAACTAATGATATTATTAATGGGTCTCCTACTTATTGTCTTATTCGTTTCCTTTTTAACCTACGAAAATTTTGGCTTTACACTATTTGTATGATTATTAATGATATACTAATTAAAGAAGGTGTTTCCTACTTCTTCTCTTTTAATTTGTTTTATCGTATGGCTCTATTTTTTTCGAAAAAATAACTTATTTGTAATTACTTTTTTATCTATTATAAAGTACATTAACAAAAGAGTAAAAAAAATGAAAGATATTTCGTTAAGGGTGTTCGTGCTTTTAATATATATATATATATATATTAGGATTGCTTTATTTGCACGTCGTCGTCATCATCATCATGATTTCTGGTTTAATGATTCTCTTTGGAGTGTCAAATGCCTTAGTAGTTCTTCTAATCTTATAAGAAGGCAATACTCTGACCTATTTCTCTCTTATTCCCTGAAACACCAATAGAAGATAAAAATTAATATGCATACAATAGGAAGCACATAAAAAGATAAAGGAAATCTGCATAAGAATACATGACGTGCAAATAGCCATGGTAGATTGAGGACAATTAGCATCCATTCACCAAAAAGAAAAGGAAAGAAATTGAAGAATGAGCTATATACGAGAAGTCCTAATCTCCTTTGGAATCACATGACATCAGAACGAAGGAAAGTTATTACATGAATGGAGACAACCTTAATCATGGATATTTATATGTCTGAGGAGATGTAAAGGTTTATAACTGATATGGAATTGTAATGCTCAACGGAATTCAATAAATAAAATACGTTAAGAGTAGTTAAGGTGTGCTTTTGGGTTCTTTAATACAAGACATTAGTGAATGAAAGAAAATATAGGAGGAAAACCCAAAAAATTGAGAAAAAAAGATAAATGGTAAAGCTAGCCAAACAGAAGTGCCAAATCATCTTTTCTTTTCCCTGAATTATATAATTATATATATATATATATA